GGTGTCCCGTTGTTGTCCGTGGTGTCCGTGTGTGTCCGTGTGGTGTGTTTGTTTCTGTGTGTGTGTGTCTGTGTTTTTCTGTGTGTGTGTGTGTATATATGTGTGTATGGCTGTGGTGTTGTATAGTGTGTGTGTGTGTGTGTGTATGTGTGGCTGTGTGTTGTTTTTGTTTTGTGTGTTTGTGTGTCTGTGTGTGTTTGTGTTTGTCGTGTGTTGTTGTTTGTTTGTGTGGTTGTGCGTGTGTCTGTGTGTGTTTTGTGTGTTGTTGTGTGTGTGTTGTGTGTGTTGTTTGTCTGTTGTTTGTTTGTGTTTGTTTTTGTGTCGTGTGTTTGTATGTGTTTTTTGTTGTATGTTTTTTGTGTGTTGTGTGTTACTGTGTTTGTGTATGTGTGTTGTATGTCTTCGTTGTTCTGTTTTCTTTGTGTGTCTGTGTGTGTTTGTGTGTGTGTGTGTCTGTTTTTTGTGTGTTATTGTGTGTCTGTGTGTTTGTTGTCTGTGTCGTGTGTGTTTGTTTTTTTGTGTTCTGTCTGTGTTTGTTTGTTTGTTGTTGTGTCTGTGTTTGTGTATGTGTGTGTGTGTTGTGTGTGTTGTGTTTTGTGTGTATGTATGTGTTGTGTCTGTGTGTTGTGTTTGTGTGTGTTGTCTGTGTGGTGTCTCTGTGTGTGTCTGTGTTGTGTGTTGTGTGTTGTCCTGTGTGTTGTGTCTGTGTTGTTATGTGTGTGTTTGTGTGTCTGTTGTGTATGTGTGTGTGTATGTGTTGTTGTATTTGTGTCTGTGTGTGTGTGTGAGCGTGTCCTGTGTGTGTGTTGTGTGTGTGTTATGTGTTGTTGTATGTGTTGTCCGTGTATGTCTTGTGTGTCCGTGTGTGTTTGTGGTGTCGTGTGTGTCTTGTATGTGTTTGTTGTGTTTCTGTTGTGTGTTGTGTGTGTCGGTGTGTTGGTCTGTGTATGTGTCTTTGTGTATTGTGTTTTGTCTGTGTGTTCTGTGTGTGTGTCTGTGTTGTGTGTTGTGGGTCGTGTGTGTATGTGTGTGTATGTATTGTGTCTGTGTGTGTCTCTGTGTATGTCTGTGTTTGGTTGTGTGTTCTCTGTTGTCTGGTTGTCTGTGTCTGTTGTTCTGTGTGTGTGTGTGTGTGTGTTGTGTTTTTGTTTTTTTTATGTTGTTTTTGTTGTTTTCTGTGTATTTGTTTGTATGTGTGTGTATTGTGTATTTTTTGTATTTATGTGTTATGTTTTTTGTGTTTTTTGTGTGTTTTTGTTTGTGTGTTTTTGGTTGTATTTTTTATGTATGTGTGTGTATGTATGTGTTTGTTTTTGTTTTTGTGTTATTGTTGTATTTTGTGTGTGTTTTTATGTTGTTTATGTGTGTTTTTTTATGTGTGTAATGTTTGTGTGTATGTTTTGTATGTTTGTGTGTATGTTATGTTTTGAATGTGGTATGTTTTTTTGTATGTGTGTATTATGTTTGTATTATGTGTTGTTTTGTTGTGTGTTTATGTTGTGTTTGTTGTGTGTATTTGTTGTGTATGTGTGTGTATGTTGTATGTTTTTTTTGTATGTTTGTGATTTGTGTGTGTATGTATGGTGTTTGTATTGTGTATTGTTTATGTGGAATGTGATTTGTATGTTATGTTGTGTTATGTATGTGTTGTGTATGTTTTTGTCTGTGTGTATGTGTGTATGTGTTGTATTTGTGTGTTTGTGTGTTTGTTTTTGTTGTTTGTTTTTGTGTTTTTTTGTTTATGTTGTGTATGTGTGTGTTTTGTGTGTATGTTTTTTTTTTTTTGTGTGTGTTTTTGTGTATGTTGGTGTTTTTATGTTTTGTTTTGTTTGTGTGTATGTTTTTTTATGTATGTGTGTATGTTGTGTATGTGTGTGTGTGTATGTATGTGTTTATGTAAGTGTGTGTTTGTATTTTGTTTGTTGTGTATGTATTTGTGTATGTATGTGTGTTTTATGTATGTGTGTGTGTTTGTTTTTGTGCGTGCGTGTGTGTTGTGACTGTGTGTCTGTTTGTGTATGTGTGTTTTGCGTCTGTTCTGTTTTTGTCTGTATGTGTTTGTGTGTCTGTATGTATTTATGTATGTTTGTATGTATGTATTTATGTATGTATGTATGTATGTATGTATGTTGTATGTATGTATGTATATGCGTGCATGCGTGCGTCTGTGTGTCTGTCTGTGTGTCTTTGTATGTATGTGTGTATGTGTGTGTATGTATGTGTATGTATGTGTGTATGTGTATGTATGTATGTGTATGTATGTGTGTATGTGTGTGTATGTATGTATGTATGTATGTGTATGTATGTATGTATGTATGTATGTATGTATGTATGTATGTGTATGTATGTATGTATGTATGTATGTGTGTATGTGTGTGTATGTATGTATGTATGTATGTATGTATGTGTGTGTATGTATGTGTATGTATGTGTGTATGTGTATGTATGTATGTATGTGTATGTATGTATGTATGTATGTATGTGTGTGTGTGTGTGTGTGTGCGCGCGTATGCATGCATGTCGGTATGTATGTATCTATGTATGCATGTGTGTATGTATAAGTTTTAAGTTTTTATTACGTGTTTATGTATTATATGTATGTATGCATGTATGAATATAGGTATGTATGTATGTATATTTGTGCGCTTTTGTAATGCCGGGGTGCCGTGTTCGATCCCAGCTGCGGGCCTTGCGCCTTGCGTTGGTTTCGAGAGAGGTATCGAGAAGCCAACCGTCTAAAAAGCAATGGCAAACTACTGGACGTAAACTTTCCTAGAAAAACCACAACAGCTAAAAAAAATGCTAGGGTTGGTTCTGCAACGTCCTGTAAAAAATACGCAACTGACCTAATGTATGTTTGTATGTATGCATTTATGTATGTATTTTTAATGTATGCGTGAAAAAATGTGTGTGTGTGTATGTAGATGTTCGTGTATAGGTGTGTGTGTGTCTATGTGTTTGTAAAATGGACTAAATATTTCACAAATTTATCATGTTAAAGTCACACAGAAAGGAAACGCCGGATGCAACCGAGCAAAGAATAATCAATGATACAAGTGGGAAACAACGTTGGCGACTGGGAGACTAGCACCAAATTAGCGTACACACCTATAGACCAAGAACTGGAAACACATTACATCATCTTTCGTGTTTCAAATGGAATTGGATAGATTATGTATATTTAATACATTAGTAGAAACAAACAGAACACGACCACTTTTATTAAATAATCACAATTTAATAACGTCAAGTTAAAAAAATGATAGGTATAGAAAAAAAAGATAATATTTTGAAAATTGATGTAAAATGTCCCAAAAAGTTCAGCAATACATCTTTGAAGCTCGTTGCCTTAGGAACTCATTCTGTAAACTTTCACAGATTTCCGCTGAAGTTACAGTGTTTTTTTATTCCATGAACATATCTGACTATCTCAGTATTTTTTTTTTTTTTTTATCCAGAAACCTTGAGTTGTTAACCCTTAGGATCGGTACGATGGATATAGCAACCCTTCGGCCTTGAATCCATGGTAGGTACCATAAATCTGAGAGAAATGTGGTTTTTCTGCCTACCCCCGGACGTGAACCAGGACTACAAGGAGTTCGTCACCCGGTCACCGCGTAGTTCCGGTTTAGCCACGTTTGACAGTAGTAACATATTATTGGGACCCATATTGTGTTGAAAAGGGCTTCTTTGCTGTCAGGTGTGACATGTTTGTTTTGCATTTGATATGTCTGTCCCTTCCCTCCGGGCTGCTACAGGATGGTGTGATCACCACTGAGACTTCCAGAGTTTTATTCTGGGTAGCAGGCCAGTCGCACCAATCACAAATACCCCATTCAAAATCCCCAGATGTTATAATTAGGTCACTTGTAATGGCTACATCAGGCTGCTGCCTGGAGTTCTGTGTGGGTAGGGACCATAACTGATGCTATACTAAAAGTACAGATTATCAAACTCAAATAAATTTTTTTAAGTATTACTAACTGTCAAGTACTTGGGTACAAACCTAATCGCTCCAGCATGCTGAGAGAAGAAATACAATCTAATAAATCTGGAAATAAAGTATACTATGCCCTTCAACATCTGCTAAAGTCAAAGTGTCTGTCTCGCAACACCAAGATAAAAATATATAAAACATTAATTAAAAGCAGTCGTGTTATATAGCTCTGAAACCTGGAGTACAACTAGAAGAGAGATGAAGCCTATTACGCGTTTTTGAAAACAGTCTTACGACGACTCCTTGGACCCATAAAAGATGCAAACATCGGGGAATGAAGAGTGAGAAGCAAAAACGAAATTCATAATCTGTTTAAATCACCACTAATCACTGGCATCATGAGAGCTAACAGACTTAAATGGTTGGGACATATTGAAAGAATGGCAGATGGCAGAGAAGTAAAAACTGTATACACGAGGGAGATGAATTATCGTAGACCACGAGGCAGATCAAGAAGACGATGGAGAGATAATGTCCAGACTGACCTGCAAACACTTGGTGTCATCAACTACAAAGAGAAGGCCACCCAGAGAGGTGAATGGAAGCGGGTGATATCTGCAGCAATGAACCTCAAGGGCTCGGAATGATGAAGAAGAAGGAGAAGAAGATTACTAACTGTCAAAATTACATGAATTTGTTTAGAACAAAATTCAGTATTTCGGCATTCTTATATACTTGTATCCATTATCAGCGGTTAGTACAATTCGAATACTAATGGTACCAGTTGCAGTCAGATTATACAATCGTCTAGGCATTCCTTTGAGCGCTGAATATAGGACAGATCCTTTGCACCATTTGTTTCTCCAGAAAGTGGTTTATAGTTCAAAATTACAATGTAACATTTTATTAAAAGTAGCGTACAAATTTACGATTAAAATGATAGCATGACCTAGGCGCAAAATATGAAAATATAGAAGCTAAGCTTTACAATTGTTGGTATATTTCACTTTCGTGTGCACATACTCAGGCAGAGTAGGCAACTGTAGTTGATAATTCAGCAGCATTATGGTTTGAAGAAGTCGGCGTCCCCAGTCAACATAACGTGATTCACTCGGCATGGATCCACTCTATGAACATAGTCAAGGTAATATTTACCATTGACAAACACCTGAAATAAAAAAAAAAACTAAAGTTTGAGCATGGATCCACTCTACGAACATAGTCAATGTAATATTTATCATTGACAAACACCTGAAATAAAACAATTGAAGTTGGAGCATTGATCTACTCTATGAACATAGTCAAGGTAATATTTATCATTGACATACAACTGAAATAAAACAATTGAAGTTTGAGCATTGATCCACTCTATGAACATAGTCAAGGTAATATTTATCATTGACATACAACTGAAATAAAACAATTGAAGTTTGAGCATTGATCCACTCTATGAACATAGTCAATGTAATATTTACCATTGACATACAACTGAAATAAAACAATTGAAGTTTGAGCATGGATCCACTCTATGAACATAGTCAAGGCAATATTTATCATTGACAAACACCTGAAATAAAACAATTGAAGTTTGAGCATTGATCCACTCTATGAAAGTAGTCAACGTAACATTTACCATTGACAAAACACCTGGGGGGGGGGGGGGAGCGTTGTAGTTTGAGCGACCTGATGTAATATGAACCGTAATTTTCTCAATGGTATAAACGTTATACTCAGGATTATAAAACGTTTCTAACATAAAATTTCAAATTTTGTCATCGAACATCGAAGTCACAAATACCGCGCTTGTGAATGTTCATTCCCTAAGTTGATAAAAAGTATCGACATTTGCTTTTGTGTTACCGGGAACCAACTTAAATAACAAAAACAAAGTTACACTAAGATACTTTGCTGTGGATAGACAACTTTGAAAAGTCTGCACCTGACCATCTTCTTCCGTAGTGCATAATCGGACCAACCCAAATCTACAAATGGCTTGAATTGGCTGAGGGCCAATTGGAAGTAAGCTAGTGTGTATATGAGCGGTCCGTGGGGAGACTAGCGTTTCTATTACCGCATTTTCTAGACTGATTACAAATGCTTTTTTTTTTTTTTTAGAAACGCAATACTAGCAGGCAATTAACCTGTTCGATCTCAGAGCTTTATCATCAAGCAAAGTTGCCATGCTTTACTGTGACATTTGTTGAGTCCTAATGAATGACAATGACACGTATATGCGACATGAGTTTAAGGGACAACCGAGATCAGCTGGGTTAAAGAACAGTTTTGCTACCCTTGCTGATGTATACGCGATAAATGTAAACGGCAAATCAAGTCAGGTTGCTAAATCAGTAAAAGAGTTTTCAGAAGCTATATTAAAAGCAGCCAAAGAAACCATACCTCGAGGTTCAAGGAAAGATTACATCCCGTTTTGGTCCCAACAAATTCAAGACCTCCACCAAACTCTCTCAGAAGCAAGAGATAGAGTAGAAAGCAACCCAACGGTAGAAAACAACATTGCGTACAAAGCAGCAGAAGCTAAGCTAAAAAAAGAAACAATCCAAGCAACTAGGAAGAGCTGGCAAGACAAAACCAAGAGCCTAAGTTTTGAAAAAGATGGGTCCAAACTCTGGAAACTAGTCAAGTGCCTAAATGGAGAAGCCCAACAAGCCCATCCAGTAGTAATAAATGAAGGCAATGAGATCAGATCTGGAAACGATGCTGCAAATATCCTTTTAAATCAGTTTAAATCTGTTAGTGATTTTAATATAGAAAAGTCCAGAGAAGATGAGGTAGTACAAAGAATTAAAGAACTCGAGGAGGCCAGCAAGTGTAAACAAGCAGAGAGCATCATGACAGATAAATTCTCAGTGAGTGAACTTAACACAGGACTTAACCAGCTGAAATCCAACCAAGCCCTGGCCCCGATAAAATCACGAATGATATGTTACTACACATGGGTCCAAGTGCCAAAAAGAAATTATTAAAACATCTTTAATGCCAGCTGGATTTTTAGTATAGTTCCTCCAGCCTGGAGGAAGTCTGAAATCTTCGTAATCCTGAAACAAGGAAAGCCGAAGAACAACGCAGACAGCTACAGACCCATCAGCCTCACTAGCTGTCTGTGCAAACTATTTGAAAGATTATTGAACAACCGACTGACCTGGTTCCTAGAGAAAAACGTCAAACTAATGGAGGAACAGGCAGGTTTTAGACGTTGTAGATCAACAGAAGACCAAATTAGATTTATTGCTCAACACATTGAAGATGCATTCCAGGAAAAAAAGGACACTATTGCAGTCTGGGTGGATATGGAAAAGGCCTTCGACAAAGTGTGGAAAAATGGGCTGAAACAAAAGTTACTTGAAAGTGGAATATCCCATCACATGCTTGGGTGGATCGTAAAATATCTTGAAAATCGATTTGCAAGAGTCAAGATACAGGGTTCAAGTAGCAGATCAGTCTCAATGAAACATGGAGTTCCACAAGGCGGAGTTCTGTCCCCAATTCTTTTCCTAGTTTACATTAACGACATAAAATCAACCCTCTGTAATGGAGTTGAAGCCGTTATGTGTGCCGATGATCTGGCGCTACTGAGTTCAGAGGAGGACACTGAAAAAGCACAGACAAGGCTTCAAGAATCCCTCGGAACTCTAGAGAGGTGGTCCAATAGTTGGTACATGCCTGTAAATGGGGCCAAAACCACACACACCATTTTCAGTCTCTCTACCAAACCCCAGAAAGTTTCACTTAGATATGGCAGCCAGGCACTGATACATGATGACTCACCGTCATATTTAGGAGTAACCTTTGACCTAAGACTCACACGGAGAAAACAGATAGAAAAGACACAGAGCAAGGGACTCAAGAGAACACAACTGATGAGGAAGTTAGCTGGAACAGACTGGGGGGCAAACCTCAATGTCCTTAAGAGGACCTATACAGGCTAAGTGAGGCCAACACTAGAATATGGAATAGCTGCTTGGGGCACAGCTGCTAAATCAAATTTTCAGAAAGTCTCAAAGATCCAAAACCATGCGCTCCGTATTATGACAGGGGCAATGCGCTCCACGCCAATATCAGATATGGAAACAATTACTGGTCTCCATAATCTGGAAGATAGGAGAGACACAAAGCTCCTCACCCAGCTCTCCGAATACAACCACTTTCAAGAACAACCCATGTACAGCCGACTGCAGAAACACCAGAAGGCTAGACTAAAGAGAATCTGTTTTATCAAGAACGCAAATGCCAAGCTCGCTGTCCTAAAACTCCCTCCCATAATACCAAATGTTCCACTTAAACCTTACAACGACTGCCCCGCTTGGCTTAGGGATAGCCTACCAACAGTCAGAACCACTGTAACAGGGGTCTCCTCCAAATCATCAATGACCAGCACTGATATGAAATCAACTACAGAAGGAGAGATCAATAGACTTTATCCACACCAGAGTTGGATTCGAGTGTATACAGATGGCTCAGCCAAGAGAGCAGTAAGAGACGGAGGAGGAGGAATATACATAGAATGCCCAAATGGTTTAAAAATCAACCAGGCTGTACCAGCAGGTTCATATTCCTTTAATTACAGAGCAGAGGCAGAAGCACTTCTAGCGGCATGTTCTTTCTTGAATGTACAACAGCACAGCAAATATAGCAGAGTGGTCTTTCTGACTGATGCTATGTCAGTTCTACAAGCAATTGTTAACCCAAAAGACACTCAGTTTGTAGACTTGACGCAACAGCTGATTTGCTTAGGCTCTTCAGTAGAACAATCTGTACTGCAGTGGATTCCAGGTCACTGTGGCTTGGAAGGCAATGAAATAGCGGACAGATTGGCCAGAAGCGGCAGTGCCATGGTACAACCAAATAGCGACTTAACCCACCAAGAGATGAAAACGCTAATACAAGCTAGTATCCAAGAAAGGTGGCTGGATACCCACAACAGATTTTCTCCCCAAGACTCACTTCATCGCCTCTCTAGAGAGGGACAGTGTATTATATTCAGACTAAGGACAGGGCACAACAGATTTCGTCAACATACGTTCACATTTTTCGGTGTAGGAAACACGGAGACGTGTCCCTGCAGCGTGACACCCTAAAATGTTGAGCATGTGCTCCAACACTGTCAACTGTATGCTGACAACAGAGACGCAATCTGACCTGTTCCAACCACAATGAAGACAAAACTGTATGGTACACGAGAGGATATGGATTGCACGATAGCTTTCATAAAGGCTACCGGCCTCCTGATATAAGTTTTCTGACAGAAGGATCGAAGAAGAAGAAGAAGAAAAGTTAAACAAGAATGGAACTGACGAAGCAAAGAAGTGCATATAGTGCATAGGAGCCCCTGCTATGTTTATGTCACGTGACTTGCCATCAATGAAAATTGTCTTCCTGTAAAAGACTGTTGTAGGGCCCATAGTTCAACGGTTTGCACAACGTCCCATAATGCTGTAAAGACGGCTCTATGTGTAAGACGTGTAGAATAAATCAGTCAGAATATGGTAAGTTGTCTTTTAGTGACAGTTAAAACTCGGTATGTTTTACAGCATCTGCTCACCCCAGATAGAGATCAAGAGAGGAGTAAGACAAGTATGTGTGCTGTCGCCTAGCCTTTCAACTTATGTACATAAACCATTTTTAAAGAAATTGTAGAATTACCAGGACTGCACATCAATGGTAGAATAATAAACAATCTGAGATATGCTGACGACACAGTGTTGCTAGCAGAGAGTGAGCAGGAGTTGCAACACCTAGTGGAGCAAGTAAACAGAAGGAGTGCAGAATTTGGATTAGATATAAATTTGAAAAAGACAAAAACCATGATATTTAGCAAAGAAAATAATCAGCTAACAATGAATATCACAGTGAACAGGGTGAAATTGGAACAAGTAAAAAATTTCTTATATCTTGGACAAGTAATAACATGTGACGGCAGAAGTAAAACAGAAGTCAAGAAAAGAATAGCGATGGCCAAAAACATTTTCAACAACATGCAAAAGTTAATGACATCAAGAGAAATAAGCAATACATTAAAAATGAGAATTGTCAAATGTTATGTATTCTCAACCTTACTGTATGGCACAGAGACATGGACAATAAACAAACAACTGGAAAATCGTATCAATTCTTTGCAGATGTGGATATACAGAAGATTAGGTCGTATTTCATGGAAACAAAAGCTATCAAATACAGAGGTAATGAGGGAATTGGGAATTAAAAGAGAGTTGCTAGGTGAAATAAAAAAGAGACAAGTGAAATATTTTGGCCACATTAAAAGACATAACAGTATTGTAAAGATCATCCTAGAGGGAAAGGTTCAAGGTAGGCGAGCAAAAAGCAGACAGCGTTACAAGTGGGAGGAAAGCATCAAGAGATGGACGAACAGCAGTATGAATGAGTGTACATCAAGGGCAAGAGACAGGGCTTGTTGGAGATCCATTACAGCCAAGATTCATTGTCGAGACGGCACCTGATTGATTGATTGATGGTTTACAAAATACTAAAGAGATGTTTTACACATACACATGTAAATCAATTAGTATTTCTTCTATTTACCTTATAACCCCCACACAGCACCAGAAAGATGATCTCAAATCTCTCCTCCTTCTTGAAAGGAAACCCCGGCTCCGAATGTTCCTCCACACCCCAGGATCCACACAGTACCGAGTTACGATATGTGCAACCTTCAGTGAAACGTGGGTTGAAATGGAAAACGATGTCACATCCATAGTTTGGGCTGTCTCCGGCCTGGAGATTGATTTCAAATCTGCTGGCACATTTCTCCACCACTCCGTTGACAGACACCCAGGAACCAATCGTCAGTGGCAAGGTGTCAACAAATGGTTTATCCTGCCGATGGGTTTATTGTATATGTTTAGTTTGAGCAACAAATTGTGTTTCTTCTATAACCGGACAATGTTGTAGATATCAAACTACAGGTTTATACCGGTACACATATTTATATTTTATATATATTATCATCATAAACATAGTCATAGATTTCAGGATGTATAATCTCGGAAGACAGGATGGCATCTTCTACAGGAAAAACTGAACTAATCAGCAAAAAGACAATTTTACTAGTGTCCTTATCAGATATCTAACTATATTTATGTCCGAAAGCCACACATAAATGGAATATTCATATCAACACCAGTTAGTTAGTTCTTTAGTTAGTTAGGATTGCCGTGCACATCCGGTTTACAGATCTGGCTTATTTGTGCGCAGACTGTCGATTCCTCACCTATTAGGCAGATGCACTACGACTTCGAAGGAATTATCCCTAATTAGTCACCTTTTACGACATGCTTGTTATTGAGGCAAGTGAGTCTAATCTCCCCCCCCCCCCCCCCCCCCTCCAACAAGGGGATAAAATATAACGGTACACCGGGCATGTGGCTACCCTGACACCAGCAGATGCATTAAAGAAGATGAATGTAGATTAATCCAAGGAAAAACATCAATTCACGAACTGGAAATATTCTATGTAACATGTCTGTCAACTGAGGTGAAGACGAGAGCTCTTAACAGCTATTTAGAGTCAATCTTCGTGTGTGTGTGAATGACAAGAGGATAATCAGCAGTTGAAAATTAGTTGCATATCCTTTAGAGGACTCTGCAAACCAACCCAGGCATTTATTGGCTGTTTGTTGGGTTTACTGGCAATATTACATTAAGTAGTGCGCCATTGTTTTCTCCATGCTCAACCCTCTATTGCATCGAAATCAACCCAGAGTTGTTTTAAGCCAATTCGAACTGCGTAAAACTGGAATATGAACGGGGTTTGTAACTCAAAGGGACAAAAACCGATAACAGTCACACAATCGATGAGTAGTGTAAAAGTTGCAGTAATTTTGTTTTTGGTGACAAAGTATGAGGAAAATTCATGGATAGATAACGAAGGTATTCAAAATATCTAGAAGTAAATTAACTTATGAAGATAACATGATATTTTTATCAGAAACAATCTAGATTCTTTGGCCAAATGATGAGAAGAGGGACACTGGAATATGTCCGATAACTGGGCAGTTGGATGAGAAAGGGTGATACTAAATTACGAACAATAAAGGGACAGCTGGAGGAGAAAGGGTGATTACTGAGTTGCGTCCAATAACGGGGCAGTTAAAGGAAAAGGGGTATACTGAATTGCGTCGGATATCATGGCAATGCAGTTGGAGGAGAGAGAGGGAGGGGATACTGAATTACGTCCAATAACGGGGCAGTTGGAGGAGAAGGGGGATCCCTCCATTGGGGAATACTGAATTACCTCCAAAAACGGGCAGTTGGAGGAGAAAGGGGGGGGGGGGGGATACTGAATTACCTCCAATAACGGGGCAGTTGGAGGAGAAGAGGAGGGGGGGGAATTCTGAATTACCTCCAAAAACGGGCAGTTGGAGGAGAAGGAGGGGGGGGGGGGTTACTGAATACCTCCAATAACGGGGCAGTTGGAGGAGGAGGAGGGGGGGGGGATACTGAATTACCTCCAATAACAGGGTAGTTGGAGGAGAAAAGGGGGGGGGGGGAGATACTGAATTACCTCCAATAACGGGGCAGTTGGAGGAGAAGGAGGGGGGATACTGAATTACCTAAAATTACGGGGTAGTTGGAGGAGAAGGGGGGGTGGGGATACTGAATTACCTCCAATAACGGGGTAGTTGGAGGAGAAGGGGGGATCCTGAATTACCTCCAATAACGGGGCAGTTGGAGGAGAAAGGGGGGGGATAACTGAATTACCTCTAAAAACGGGGCAGTTGGAGGAGAAAGGGGGGGGGGGGAATACTGAATTAACTCCAATAAACGGGGCAGTTGGAGGAGAAGAGGGGGGGGGGGGGGGGATCTGAATAACCTCCAAAAACGGGGGCAGTTGGAGGAGAAGGGGGGGGGGGGGGGGGATACTGAATTACGTCCAAAAACGGGGCAGTTGGAGGAGAAGGGGGGGGGGGATACTGAATTACCTCCAATAACGGGGCAGTTGGAGGAGAAGGGGGAGGGATACTGAATTACCTCCAATAACGGGGCAGTTGGAGGAGAAGGGGGGATACTGAATTACCTCCAATAACGGGGCAGTTGGAGGAGAAGGGGGGATACTGAATTACGTCCAATAACGGGGCTGTTGGAGAAGGAGGAGGGGGGATACTGAATTACGTAAAATAACGGGGCAGTTGGAGGAGAATGGGTCTCCGGAAAGTAAAGGTGAAAGGCCTGATGTTTACCACAACGCCAATACTGTGCCGATTGGTCTCGCAAAATTTAGAAGCCTAGCCTTATCCTCCTGAGGCAGTTCGCTTATAAATTGTCCTGTACTGATACAGTTAGGGCATAGAGACACATCTGTAACAACAACTATCATTAATACATGGGAGAAACGACAAGCACTGCCACAATATGACGGTTAAACTAAAAATGTAGTTTTATAAACGAAGATGAGAAAGTTAAGATGTCTTGAAAGAAACTGACTCACGAAGAAAACTGATTGCTCACATCAGAAAGAGACAATCTACATTCTTTAGCTATGTGATGAGGAAACTGGAGTACAAAGTGACAGTAGGAAAGCTGGAGGAGAGGAGAGAGAGACAGAGTGAAATGATGCTGGACAATTCGACATCATAACATGGAGGATCATTTGTGTCAGAGTTGACTGAAAGTTTAGGAGACAGAAGGTTGTGGGCACATTTGTGTCAGAGTTGACTGAAAGTTTAGGAGACAGAAAGTTGTGGACACATTTGTGTCAGAGTTGACTGAAAGTTTAGGAGACAGAAGGTTGTGGACACATTTGTGTCAGAGTTGACTGAAAGTTTAGGAGACAGAAGGTTGTGGACACATTTGTGTCAGAGTTGACTGAAAGTTTAGGAGACAGAAGGTTGTGGACACATTTGTGTCAGAGTTGACTGAAAGTTTAGGAGACAGAAGGTTGTGGACACATTTGTGTCAGAGTTGACTGAAAGTTTAGGAGACAGAAGGTTGTGGACACATTTGTGTCAGAGTTGACTGAAAGTTTAGGAGACAGAAGGTTGTGGACACATTTGTGTCAGAGTTGACTGAAAGTTTAGGAGACAGAAGGTTGTGGACACATTTGTGTCAGAGTTGACTGAAAGTTTAGGAGACAGAAGGTTGTGGACACATTTGTGTCAGAGTTGACTGAAAGTTTAGGAGACAGAAGGTTGTGGACACATTTGTGTCAGAATTGACTGAAAGTTTAGGAGACAGAAGGTTGTGGACACATTTGACTAGCAAGGACTTTAAAACAAATTTAGAAACCCACCCAAACTAAAAATGTAGTTTTATAAACGAAGATGAGAAAGTTAAGATGTCACATCAGAAAGAGACAATCTACATTCTTTAGCTATGTGATGAGAAAACTGGAGTACAAAGTGACAGTAGGAAAGCTTGAGGAGAGGAGAGAGAGACAGAGTGAAATGATGCTGGACAATTCGACATCATAACATGGAGGATCATTTGTGTCAGAGTTGACTGAAAGTTTAGGAGACAGAAGGTTGTGGGCACATTTGTGTCAGAGTTGACTGAAAGTTTAGGAGACAGAAGGTTGTGGACACATTTGTGTCAGAATTGACTGAAAGTTTAGGAGACAGAAGGTTGTGGACACATTTGACTAGCAAGGACTTTAAAACAAATTTAGAAACCCACCACTTTCGTCAGCAGATTCACGTCATAGAAGTAGGCGTCTTCTTTCACTTGAACGCTGGAGATATCTGTCACGTCCCCTCTGGCTGTGAAGTTTGCGAACCATTGTCCGTTTATGTAGATCTATCAAAAATCATTAGTGTTTCAAGAACAGACTTATATGAATTAAATTTATACTTTTAGTATGAAGAAACTAAATATTGTGCTAAGAATATCTTATAGTAAATATAATTAATTACTGAGTGTACAACAGGAAATGGTTTTCATTTTAGCAGAAGCTTGCAGCGTCAGGAACCTAATATTATTGAACCCTGTTTATCAGGTTGCAAAAAACATCAACTATAAAGGACTCTCCTTACTGAATACACGACCTGCTGAAATAAGCCCGCAACAACACAAAACAATCACGGGATAGAAGCTCTAGTCCTCTAGGGAATATCTAGAAAGGAATTAAAGGTACATCAAAAGAATAAAGGTCAGCATGTGATTTGATTGTGTATCGTAGAATAGTATGATGATATCAAGTTAACACTTTAAATATTTTCAAAGCACAGCATTGTTTTTTTTTAAATAAACATATACAGTATGTTTTGCAGGTAACAGTCTATACTCCTAACAATCTAAATTACCTCATAAGTTAAATCTCCCCCCCCCCCCCCCCACCCCCACAATTTCCTTCTTCAACCTAATTTTAAGGAAAACCTTTTCTAAAACTACACGCCCTGGGGTCTCACCGAATTGTTAATCTGTTTACCAAATGTCCAGTATACATATTTTAAACAAAAGTAATCAAGAAGTATTCGTATTTTTTGTTTATAACTTTTAAAAAGTAATACATTTGTGTTTTTATTGAATAAAAACGTGTTAGTTACACAATGGAATCAATTCAGTACGAAAACAATTAAGAAGATTTGTTGAACTGTGAACATTATTAATCAAAGTGATAATCTGTTACAATGTTATTTCTTACCGATGCGATGAACTGTTACAATGTTAATATTTTTTTACAGTTGTGATGATCTGTTACAATTTAATGTTACTAGCAATGGTGATAATCTGTTACAATTTTAACATCACTGATAGTGGCGAATGATTTGTTAGACTGTCGAGACTGTTAATAATGTCAATCATATGTTACAATGTTGACATTACGCACGGCGATGATGTGTCCAGTTAGAATATTATTATTACTAAGAATTATCGGTGAATCAGGCTGACTAACGTGGAGATCTGGAAAGTTTCGAACGAGAACCAAACACATTTCAGTGTGACATGGGTGAGGAACAGGCGCAGCTACTTGATAGGACAATATTCGAGAAGCAGTAATTATAATACAACTAGAATGTTCTTGCAATTGAACCCGCAGAGCAAAAGAAATTAGACGGGAATAAAACACACACAAAGAGGAGAGGGACTAGACAAGAAATGACAGACAAATGTGAATAAGACGTGAAGGACATTGGGTGGGGTGGGGGGGGGGGGGGGGGGGAGGGGTTCACCCGTTCACGCGATGTTACAGGACAAGAGATCTTGGAATACGTTGGTTACAGGTAGGTCTATACTCCAAAGTAGGACCAAGAAAGATAAGAAAAAGAAAGAAAAAGAAAGAAAAACTGAAAGAGAGAAAGAAAGACATAGAAAAGAAGTGTAAAAGAAGAACGAAAAAAGAAAGAAAGAAATATAAAGGAGGGAAATGTGAAAAGAAAGAAATATAAAGGAAGGAAGTGTGAAAGAAAGAAAGAAATATAAATAAAGGAAAGTTGAAAGACGAAAGAAAAAAAATAGAAAAGAAGGAAGTGTGAAAGAAAGAAAGTAAGAAAGAAAGAAAGAAAGAAAGAAAGAAAGAAAGAAAGAAAGAAAGAAAGAAAAAGAAAGAAAATAAAGAAAGAAAGAAAGAAGAACAAGAAAGAAAGAAAGAAAACAAGAAAGAAAGAAAAGAAAAAAAAGAAAGAAAAAAGAAAAAGAAAAAAGAAAAAAGAAAGAAAGAAAAAAAAGAAAGAAAGAAAGAAAGAAAGAAAGAAAGAAAGAAAGAAGAAAGAAGAAAGAAAGAAAGAAAGAAAAAACCCTAGAAAGAAAGAAAGAAGAAAGAAAGAAAGAAAGAAAGAAAGAAAGAAAGAAGAAAGAAAGAAAAGAAAGAAAAGAAAGAAAGAAAGAAAAAAAAAGAAAGAAAGAAAAAATAAAGAAAAGAAAGAAAGAAAAGAAAGAAAGAAAGAAAGAAAGAAAAGAAAGAAAGAAAAGAAAGGTTTGAAAGAAGAAAGAAAGAAAGAAAGAAAGAAAGAAGAAAGAAAAAAAAAGAAAGACAAAAGAAAGAAACCTAGTAAAAAGAAAGAAACCTGTATGCACAAATAAGCCACATATTTGTGCTGATCCGACCTGTGGGCATTTTGTGGCTGTATGATCCTACTGCTATTACTACAACTTCTGATTTTGCATGCTATTCTTGGAGAGTTATAAGTAAAGCAAACTCAACTAGCCATCACATCCTAACCAGCATCAAATCAGCCCTGTGTGACACCAACTGCTACATTATGACAGACACAGGCTGCATGAATTGCTCTCTGACCTTGAACACATTGCAGGTGGTGAATGAAATCTCCACCTCAAAGAACGTCTTCTGCTTCAGCTGACAAGGCAGAGGGAGTCTCTCTTCTTTTCCCCAGCATCCATTTTTCTGACTGTTGAGAACAACTGTGTTTTCATCTCGGCGTGGATTAAACGCTAGAGCAATGTCTTTGGAGCAGTTACCAAGGAGCAGGTTGATTAGGAACCTGTGTAATAATCAGACATATACACTTATACATCTGCTCACATGTTTTTGGCCTCGCAGATAATAGTTACAACTTTTTACTGCCGTCTTCACAGTAAAGGATGTATGCATCCACTCCTGTTTTGGGAAATGATCATGTGGTGACCCCCAAACTCTTCCAGGGACACTTGTGACTCTACCACGACAACTGTCTATTGCTTAATCATATTATCATAAACCTGGTATGCACAGTGTTGCGAGGTGGGCTCATGAACCATAAGCCACATAATCTCGCTGTGTTGTTATTTGACCAAACTGTTGGTAATTAATTGATCCGACCTGTGCATTTTGGTGGCTGTATGATCCTACCTGCACATCCTAATAATTAGTTGATCTGATCAGATACGGAATTCTCGGAAATTAGTGCATGATCTATCAATCTTGGACAGTTTCTTTTATCTTAACTATGAATCCTGAACAATTAGATGAAATCACAAGTGAATCCAAATAGCTGAATCAGTCAGGTACTCTTGGTCAGTTAGTTGATCTAGTCAAATATAATAGGTAAATAAACACGGATATTTGTTTGGTCGCCCAAGTGCCCCCTTACTGAGTGACATCCAACCCCACCTGGACCGCGCACCGAGCGATAAAGCCACCTTACTGAGTGACATTCAACCCCACCTGGACCGCGCACCGAGCGATAAAGCCACCTTACTGAGTGACATTCAACCCCATCTGGACCGCGCACCGAGCGATAAAGCCACCTTACTGACATTCAACCCCACCTGGACCGTGCACCCAGCGAAAAAGCCACCTTACTGAGGGACATTCAACCCCACCTGGACCACGCACCCAGCGATAAAGCCACCTTACTGAGTGACATTCAACCCCAACTGGACCGTGCACTCAGCGATAAAGCCACCTTACTGAGTGACATTCAACCCCACCTGGACCACGCACCCAGCGATAAAGCCACCTTACTGACATTCAACCCCACCTGGACCGTGCACCCAGCGATAAAGCCACCTTACTGAGTGACATTCAACCCCACCTGGACCACGCACCCAGCGATAAAGCCATCTTACTGAGTGACATTCAACCCCATCTGGACCGTGCAACGAGCTATAAAGCCACATTACTGAGTGACATTCAACCCCACCTGAACCACGCACCCAGCGATAAAGCCACTTTACTGACATTCAACCCCACATAGACCGCGCACCGAGCGATAAAGCCACATTACTGAGTGACATTCAACCCCACCTGGACCACGCACCCAGCGATAAAGCCACCTTACTGAGTGACATTCAACCCCATCTGGACCGTGCAACGAGCTATAAAGCCACATTACTGAGTGACATTCAACCCCACCTGGACCACGCACCCAGCGATAAAGCCACCTTACTGAGTGACATTCAACCCCATCTGGACCGTGCAACGAGCTATAAAGCCACATTACTGAGTGACATTCAACCCCACCTGGACCACGCACCGAGCGATAAAGCCACCTTACTGACATTCAACCCCACCTGGACCGTGCACCCAGCGATAAAGCCACCTTACCGAGTGACATTCAACCCCACCTGGACCACGCACCCAGCGATAAAGCCACCTTACTGACATCCAACCCCACTTGGACCGTGCAACGAGCGATAAAGCCACCTTACTGACATTCAACCCCACCTGGACCGTGCACCGAGCGATAAAGCCACCTTACTGAGTGACATTCAACCCCACCTGGACCGCGCACCGAGCGATAAAGCCACATTACTGAGTGACATTCAACCCCACCTGGACCGTGCACCGAGCGATAAAGCCACCTTACTGAGTGACATTCAACCTCACTAGGACTGCGCACCGAGCGATAAAGCCACATTACTGAGTGACATTCAACCTCACTAGGACTGCGCACCGAGTGATAAAGCCACCTACAGAAATATCTAAATGAATAATGAATGTCACACAGAGCTATTCATTACTTAGTAACATGAACAAGTGTAAAGTGAATTCATTTTAATATACATACTAAATGGTGGTGTTTAAAAAAAAAAAAAAAAGAAATTATAAATTCCAAATTTTATTGAATAAACCAAATGATGAAACGTTTTTCTGTTACAAACTTCAGAAGGAAGCAAGCTGGATTACAAGCTATGGCATAGGACATCACAAACTGCAGCATAAGCACTGGTGTGTTTTATGGAATATGAGGTTGAGGTCAACAAGAAAGAAGTTACTGGACGGATACACAACACGATATGACAATACGCTATAACTCAGACTTATCATTAATTATTTAGTAATTGTAGAATTGAGCTGTATGTATATCATCCGCATTTCCCTGTTGACACACAGGGCATTGACAAGTGATCTCAGTTTGTGTCCGTCTGCTGCTTGTCTGCCTGTGGTATCCCATACCACGTTGTGTTCTTACATTTCAATTGTTGCTGTCCTTAAACAGATTTCTTAAGGAAAGACCTTTCATTATCTAATCTATGTTTAAATCATTTCACGTTACGCTTTTCCATGTTACTAAATGATAAATGGCCCTTAAATGTTCATAAAAAAATTGTACTTGCTATGATATTGGGCACTATCTTTTTCACTGAAAGCCTGTTACCACTGCAAAGATGTGGCGGATTGATGTTTCTGAGAAAAATAACAGGCACGCCAACTTTCAAGGTTAAAACATGGGGTGGCATGCCTGGCAAATCAAGCGAATTAAAAAACTCAATTAGATAATTGACAACCTCGTCTTGAATCATTACAGTATCGATAGGCTAATACATTGTCACTCCGCCTGGTAATTTGTCTTGGATGTTCGGATTCATGGCATACACATCCTTGTTTTTAGCTGCTAAGATAGCACCTTCACTGAGCCACTGATGATTTATGTAATTCTGTGTGATATTAGGGAAAAATTTGTCCCATATAATGAGTTGACATACTTTGAGTATTTTACCCATTGCAGAATCATTGTTGATATTGCATGTTGGTGTCTCAGTGATATGCATATTTAAAGGCAACTTCAGTGCTGAATGCGCTGTACGGCCACCATCCAAAAGAGTTGCGACAAATCCAGAAGATGCGATTGCCAGTGCAATATTATTTTGTGACCGTATGGATGCCAAAATAAGCGAAATGAGAAAGGTCTTGCCTGTGCCTCTGGGTGCATCTATGAAATACAATCCTCCGTGTTGTCTTGTAACGGCATGCATAATTGTGTCATATGCTATACGTTGTGCTTGAACCAATTTTGGAAAATTTGTTTAAACAAATGTACCTAATTCGGTGACATCAAAGAGTGTCTCTCGTTGCAACTCAAGATCGAAAAGGTTGTTTGCAGATCGTTCTGGTGGAGCCAGTCCCAGCTGAACCAGTGCTTTATTAATTATTGCCATCATATGTCCTCAATGCAAACCAATGCCTAATTATATACATTTGGTGTGAATTGAAGGTCCTGATCTTGCTCCGTTTCACGCCAGCGATGTAGGATGTCTTTACTCATGTAGTCTTTGAATTTTCCCGAAGCTCTTTTGGATTGGATGAGAAGCAAGTTGTTAATATTATTGCAAATAATGTGCGTATTTGCTGTGGTCGAGCAGTATTCGAAGCATCAGCGAGTGAAGTGTCCCAATGTGCATCATTCTCAAGAAGATTTAATTCTTGGCAACCTTCACAGTAAGTAGCACATACTTTACCATAAACTGTTCTCAAGTCCTAGAAGGATGTCGGTTCCCGTTTGTTGATTAAAAGTAATCGCAAGTAAAAGCAATCTGCATTTTTGGGATGAACATTGTAAAAATATATAATTGTATATGTGTGTGTATATATAATAAATATCTATATATACCGAGAAAAAGAGAAAGATAGACAGAGTGACAGACAGACAGACAGACAGACAGACAGACAGACAGACAGACAGACAGACAGACAGACAGACAGACAGACAGACAGACAGACAGACAGACAGACAGACAGACAGACAGACAGACAGACAGACAGACAGACAGACAGACAGACAGACAGACAGACAGACAGACAGACAGACAGACAGACAGACAGACAGACAGACAGACAGACAGACTGACTGACTGACAGACAGACAGACAGACAGACTGACTGACAGACATACAGAAGGAGAAAGAGAGAAATTTACATAACACATTTACCCTTTTGCACTTTGATAGAAGAAGCCCTTGACGCGTATGATGTCTCCTGGCCTCAGATTGCACGGAAGCTTTTTGGTGAAATCTTTTTGCTACAGAGATGCATTATGTAAGGTCACAATCTGTTTTAGCATTAGAAACATCCTATTATGGCATTGTGAGTATCAACTTTAGTATCAGAATCATGCTGTCACGACATCGTCAGTATCAACTTTAGCATTGGGAGAATGCTCTCATAACATCGTCAGTGTCAACTTTAGCATCAGAAACATGCGCTCACTACATCGTCAGTGTCAACTTTAGCATCAGAAACATGCTCTTATGACATCGTCAGTGTCAACTTTAGCATCAGAAATATGCTCTTATGACATCGACAGTGTCAACTTAAGCTTCAGAAACATGCTCTTATGACATCGTCAGTGTCAACTTTAGCGTCAGAAACATGCTCTCACTACATCGTTAGTGTCAACTTTAGCATCAGAAACCTGCTTTTATGACATCGTCATTGTCAACTTTCATAAGAAAAATACCATCACAACATCGTCATTGTCAACTTTCATAAGAAAAATGCCCTCACAACATCGTGAGTGTCAACTTCCATAAGAAAAATGCCCTCACAACAACGTCATTTTCAACTTAAGCATCAGAAACATGCTCCCACGACATCGTCATTGTCAACTTTAGCATCAAAAACATGCTCTCGCGACATCGTCATTATAACTTTAGCATTTTAAACATGCTCTAATGACATCGTCAATGTTAAGTTAGGCATCAGAAACATGCTCTCAAGACATCGTCAGTGTCAACTTTAGCATCAAAAACATGCTCTCACGACATCGTCATTATCAACTTTAGCATTTTAGTAATGCTATCATTACATCGTCAATGTTAACTTTTGCATCAGAATCATGCTCTCACAACATCGTTAGTGTCATCTCCATTTTTATCTGTAGCCGAAAATTATACTGATAAATGAATTATTCAAGACCCTGTACACCCTCCACTCGGAACGACGATGTCCACTGGTATCCGTGGAGCGCTGGAACACAAGCTGTTCCTTCCTGTGACTCTCAGCAGCAAGAAATCGAAGCTGATGATGGTGATGATGATGAGGATTAGATGTTGTGATGATCATGATTGCGATAATAAATTAATGTATGCAATAAATTAATCAATCAAGTGACGTCCCGCAGTTGGTTGCAATACATCTCCAATATTCTTCGCCCCAATCCTGGCTAAACGCACTCTCAGACAGTTTTTGATCCGTCACTGGATGTTACCTTCTGTCCTGTGTCGCAGTCTACTTCTTACTCTTTGACCCTTTTATTGTGTTGTGTTGGCGTACAGCTTTTTGTTTAATTTCTTGTTGACAACATCATCTGGCGAGATAGGATGGTCAATAAAAACATAACTATAGCAACAGGCGCCCCGTAGCGTTGATGGCATGAGGGAGGGTAATTTACTTACACACATAAAGAAGTCAAACACTGAGTGTTCAGCAATGTGTGTATTTGTTGCCCTCATAGACATAGGTTTTCCCACTGCAAAAGGGGTAATCCCTTCTTAAAAATAAACTTAAAGACGCTCTTGGTTAGCAATAATAAAATTGAAAAAAAATTATATTAGCTCGAGTTAGGGTGTTCTGGTGTGTGTGTGTATGAGAATGAGAGAGTGAGAGTGTGTGTGTGTGCGTGCGCGTGTATGTGTATACGCTCACCCGCGAGCATACACCTATGTATGTGTGTAACTGTGATCCAATTTGGTATTCGTTAACTACAATTCTGTTGACCATCTGGTAAGCAATGCACAAACGAATGCGGAAAAAAGTATGGACAGAGCAGAAATCATCAACGAGGTACAGATTGGGCTAGTGGATAATGACGAATCTCTGGCACTAACACGATTGCGTGACATAGAAGTAAAGCATTCTGAAGCATGTCTATGCAGCCTTCGTGGTCAGTATGGGAGACTATAACCAACCTCTCATGGGAACAAACACTAAAAGTGTCTTGGAGTGGCTACTACATCAGAGGACTTAGCATGCATATGCTGTGACGTTGACTGTAATGACATAACATACTTCTGTTGATGTCAAAATAAAATAAAGGATGCAAACGCAAGAAATATAAAATAGCCATACCAGTGGCTCGTTGATTTCGACCGACAAAAGAATGATTCCTCCGTTGATCTCCAAATAACGGACTTTCTCCACAGCAATGCGGTACTTGTAGGACGTATAGAAGCTTCCATTGACGTAGATCTGTAATTTCAATATTGCTTTTAACGAATAATAATGTTTCTACAGCAACCATCTTTACACTCTTTCAATTTTAACTAGTAATTTCGAAAAGTCAGTATTCTGTAGATGCATCTTATAGCTTCTTATTATTATTATTTCTTCTTCTTCTTCTTCTTCTTTTTCTTCTTTATTGGATCCGCTCTGCCCTTGGATTTCTGCTTTCTTACTTATCCCGAACAGCAACAAGTATGGCGTCAATCCTCAAGGAAAGTGTATCCCTCCCTCACCACCCCCCCCCCTTTTTCTCCTTTCCTTCCCCAATTATTCATAGGATTACTAATATCTAACAACAACTACATGGTCCCCGGATTTTATGTTCGTTGAAGAAATAGTCACGCCCAGAGCCTCACTGGAGCCTGAAGACATCTTAACCACGGCGTCTGTCAGTATGGAAATACTTCGCTGTCGATGAGATGAGGGAGACGGCGCTAGTATGGGCTTGTCTTGAATGCGGTGATGTCGAATCTTTACTCAGATTAACCCAGAGAAAGACATGTTACAATCGCGAAAATCGTGTGCAAGGATGTTTTTTTTTTTTTTTTTAAGTAAAACAAGATCTCCATCCAATTCAATAACGAGGGGATAGTTTCTTGGACGAAATGTTTCATTCCAAACATTTACTAATGAATGGTCATCATCATAAGCTATCACAATGTTATAAAAGAGAACTTGAGGTAAACATTAAATAGTTAGACTTAGACCATCAATATGCTGTCATAACTCCATGAGAAGACAGGAAGAGGATAAACGTTTTATTTTATCTGTTTAGTTTAAAGACGAACTGGCGTGGGCGATCATATTTCAACTCGTTACCTGAAATCTCGGTATGACACGACACAAAAGATCTGTGAAGAATCCTCTTTAGTTGTTTTATTGTATCTCTTCAATCATAAATCTTATGTTTTTTCCTGTTGTCACGACAGGGTCTAGCCGTTTTTATCTCACAGTATGCACAGAAAATGACTTCGTTAACTAACTGTCCATAATTCACAGCCATAGTTCACACTGATGATGTGTCATATGCAGGAACCCTTTTATGATCTCTAAAGACAATAATTTATTGCGAAACTGGCTAATGAAAGTAGAATATTATATATACAACAACGAGAAGAAGACAAAGTTCTTTGGGCATGTGGTGGGAAACGCAGCACTAGAGAATGTGACGACTGGAAAGATGAGGTAGAGGCAGCCAAAGAGAAATTATGGTGGATGGCTTAAGACAGTGTTATGGGGTAAAATTGTCAGTGCAATTGATTAGGGACACCAAACACTGAGGTCTGTGAAGATGCACAAACGCTCCAAGTCAGCTGACAGAGCACTTGACGACGATAATGATGACTGCAAAAAAGTATTCTTCCTTTTAGTAAACTGAGTTCTTCATGTCTGTCTATTTATTTTGTAATCATCATATTACAGTTTGATGTATTTTTTTTCCTTGGTACTTTTCTTAATTTCTAGATGATAGTGTTATATTGTGCTACAGGGGACACGGGAATCACATACCATGGCGATAGCAAAGACCCGGCCGCATTCAGACAGATCAAACAAGGATATGGCTGAAGTTTCTCTTCTCCAGAGCACAAAGCCTAAGCAGTCTTTCAGAGACCATATGTTGCCCATGCATCATGATTTTCCTCCCCCCACCCCCTGCCACCCCCACTCCCCACCCCTTCCCGGGCCTGCAATGCTCACTTCAAAGAAAAGGTAACACCAGTAAGTTTGAACATGGCGTGCAGAAGCTGGAATCGAACCAAGATATTTCGGGAGAGCAGGCAAAGGTGACAACTGATTACGAATTCAGCTGTAACATGGTACCCTAATCTACCCCTTTCCACACTGTCATAAAAAAATATAGATGCTGGCAACTGCAGAAATGTTGGTGTTGGCTCGTTTTACTTGTTTGACTTTTTACGTGCCTCAGTCAAGATGTAAAGTCTGGACACATGTACGTACATTCAAAACACGATGATAACGTTGATATCGTTTATTGTGGCACAACAATAAGTCGTCATTAGGTCGATGTCCACAGTTCTCCCTCGTCTTTGACACGGGCTCACAACAGTCTCCAACGACAAGACGACAGTTAAACAATGGCTGCAGTTACCTGCCAGTCATAACGTTTAATTCGCTCAGGTATTGGCATCTGAATCGTCATAACATAAATGTTCACAGAACACTAGACGTCATTCAGAATAAATTCTCAGGCGCTCGAGCTTTCCAAACACTGTACCTCCAGTTCACAATGACGTTCACCTAAGTCGCACCATCACACAACCCACCTCTCACACCATCAAACAACCTACCTCTCACACCATCAAATTACTTACCTCTCACACCATCAAACAACCTACCTCCAACACCATCAAACAACCTACCTCTCACACCATCAAACAACCTACCTCTCACAGCATCAAACAACCTACCTCTCACACCATCAAACAACCTACCTCTCACACCATCAAACAACCTACCTCTCACACCATCAAACAACCTACCTCTCACACCATCAAACCTACCTCTCACACCATCAAACAACCTACCTCTCACACCATCAAACAACCTACCTCTCACACCATCAAACAACCTACCTCTCACACCATCAAACAACCTACCTCTCACACCATCAAACAACCTACCTCTCACACCATCAAACAACCTACCTCTCAACACCATCAAACAACCTACCTCTCCACCATCAAACACCTACCTCTCACAACAACCTACCTCTCACACCATCAAACAACCTACCTCTCACACCATCAAACAACCTACCTCTCACACCATCAAACAACCTACCTCTCACACCATCAAACAACCTACCTCTCACACCATCAAACAACCTACCTCTCACACCATCAAACCTCAACCTCCTCTCACAGCATCAAACAACCTACCTCTCACACCATCAAAACCTACCTACCTCTCACCATCCATCAAACAACCTACCTCTCACACCATCAAACAACACACCTCACCTACTCTCACAGCATCAAACAACCTACCTCTCACACCATTAAACAACCTACCTCTCACACCATCAAACAACCTACCTCTCACAGCATCAAACAACCTACCTCTCACACCATCAAACCTACCTCTCACACCATCAAACAACCTACCTCTCACACCATCAAACAACCTACCTCTCACAGCATCAAACAACCTAACTCTAACACCATCAAACAACCTACCTCTCACAGCATCAAACAACCTACCTCTCACACCATCAAACAACCTACCTCTCACACCATCAAACAACCTACCTCACATCAAACAACCTACCTCTCAAACAACCTACCTCTCACACAGCATCAAACCTACCTACCTCTCACACCATCAACAACCTACCTCTCACAGCATCAAACAACACCTACCTCTCACACCATCAAACAACCTACCTCTCACAGCATCAAACAACCTACCTCTCACACCATCAAAACCTAAACAACTACTCTCACACACCATCAAACAACCTACCTCTCACAGCATCAAACAACCTACCTCTCACAGCATCAAACAACCTACCTCTCACAGCATCAAACCTACCTACCTCTCACAACCTACCTCATCAAACCTACCCTCTCACAGCATCAAACCCTACCTCTCACAGCATCAAACAACCTACCTCTCACAGCATCAAACAACCTACCTCTCACACCATCAAACAACCTACCTCTCCTCTCACACCATCAAAACCTACCTCTCACACCATCAAACAACTACCTCTCCAGCATCACCTACCTCTCACACCATCAAACCCTACCTCTCACACCATCAAACAACCTACCTCTCACAGCATCAAACAACCTACCTCTCACCATCAACCATCAAGCACACCTACCTCTCACAGCATCAAACCTACCTCTCACACCATCAAACAACCTACCTCTCACACAAACCTCTCACAGCATCAAACAACCTACCTCTCACACCATACCTCTCACACCATCAAACACCTACCTCTCACACCATCAAACAACCTACCCTCTCACACCATCAAACAACCTACCTCTCACACCATCAAACACCCTCACCTCTCACAGCATCAAACAACCTACCTCTCACAGCATCAAACAACCTACCTCTCACAGCATCAAACAACCTACCTCTCACACCATCAAACAACCTACCTCTCACACCATCAAACAACCTACCTCTCACAGCATCAAACAACCTACCTCTCACACCATCAAACAACCTACCTCTCACAGCATCAAACAACCTACCTCTCACAGCATCAAACAACCTACCTCTCACACCATCAAACAACCTCTCACACCTCAAAACCTCACACCATCAAACAACCTACCTCTCACACCATCAAACCTACCTCTCACACCATCAAACAACCTACCTCTCACAGCATCTCAACACCACCTCACACCATCAACAACCTACCTCTCACACCATCAAACAACCTACCTCTCACACATCAAACCTACCTCTCACAATCAAACACCTACCTCTCACACCATCAAAACAACCTACCTCTCACACCATCAATCAAAACCTACCTCTCACACCATCAACAAACCTACTCTCACACCATCAAACAACCTACCTCTCACACCATCAAACAACCTACCTCTCACACCATCAAACAACCTACCTCTCACACCATCAAACAAACCTACCTCTCACACATCATCAAATCAACCTACCTCTCACACCATCAAACAACCTACCTCTCACACCATCAACCATCAACAACCTACCTCTCACACCATCAAACAACCTACCTCTCACACCATCAAACAACAACCTACCACCATCAAACAACCTATCTCACACCATCAACAACCTACCTCTCACACCATCAAACAACCTACCTCTCAACAACCAACCTACCTCTCACACCATCAAACAACCTACCTCTCACACCACAAACAACCTACCTCTCACACCATCAAACAACCTACCTCTCACACCATCACCTCTCTCACACCATCAAACACCTACCTCTCACACCATCAAACACTACCTCTCACACCATCAAACAACCTACCTCTCACACCCTATCATACACAACAAACAACCTACCTCTCACACCATCAAACAACCTACCTCTCACACCATCAAACAACCTACCTCTCACACCATCAAACAAACAACCTCTCACACCATCAAACAACCTACCTCCTCTCACACCATCAAACAACCTACCTCTCACACATCAAACAACCTACCTCTCACACCATCAAAACTCACTCTACCTCTTCTCTCCTTTCAAACCTTCCGTTCCAATGCCACGATTTTACCCCAACCCCTGTTCTTAGAACACGGCAGAATCGAGACGTGCTTTTCTCCCTTTTCTCGTTTCCCTGGCCCTCACTGACCTTGTCCCCTCAATTGGGAACTCTCGGGGGTTTCCCTGGGAAATCACCTCATTACAGCAACCAATCTACTTAGCTATACGACTCACAACTCTCACCGCCTAGTTGTCCATTTCGTTATATCCTGTTGAATCTGTTCGGTATCGTGGATAGAATCCATTCCAGCCCCCCTGGCTTCATCTAAACAAAAAAGTAAAGGAGCTTTTCTACACCTTCATGCTATTAGGCATACAAGATCGGCAGTCGGAACGTGGCGGGTTATGAGGTCAAAATCACGCGGACCACCTTTACCTTAAAGGACTTTACGTGGTGTTCGTTTACGGTTGGGTTAAACTAGAAGCCAGGGTGATTTCTGAAAGAAAGAACGAAGTCCAACTCTGTCAGCCGACTCCCTTTCGATCCGCAGGCCAGCATCTAGCCGCTACATCACGGCGGCTCCTCAAACACGTCATTACCATCATAATATTATTAGACAAACATACACAGCCTGGTTACGGACATGTTTCTACAGCTTGACATTGCAATCATCGTCTTTCACCAAAAACTCATGTCTGTATTTGGGACTTACATCAAAGCAGCCATCACTTGCAATGAAAACAATCTCAAAGTACTGTCCAGGCTGGAACTGAAAACACCCAGGTACAGTCTCCGGCTCCTTCCAGCAGCCATCCTTGGTGTTGAGGACAACGGTCTGCTCGCTCTGACGAGGGTTGAAGTGCAGGGCAATTGTTTCCCCACACGGGTCAGCATTCAAGTTGATGTGAAAGCTGTTGATCAGTGCATGCAAAAACAGTTACTTTACAGGCTTGATATTGTAGGACAGCTGAAGCAAGTACGACATTTTACAACTCGAAAAATATGCTATGACTGTAGTCTTTGTCACTTAAGACGATAGGACAGAATCATTACAGGATGTATAGAGGCATGGACTGTCAGAAGGATAAGTGAAACATTATTTAGAAGTTGCATTCGTGGTTACATAGAAGACGATAACGTTAACGAGAGAGGAAAAAGGGCTTCGACTGGATTCCATCTATGATAGACCGACAGGACAGACAAACGGAGAGACGGACGTACAGATGAACAGGCAATGGGACAGACACACAGATATATAATAACTATCAAACTACCACTTCAACTCCACTGGTTCCACAAACATTATGATATATTTTATTCAATTCCATAAGCTTGTGACTATAAAGTTGTAACTTAGTGGGGCATAAAGAGTTACAGTACCAACTGCTAGGGACAGGAGGCGTTACAAATACATTATGTATGACGCAATACACATGAATGTTGGTAATCTGTATGCTAATAAATGCGTGTTACCCGATGAATGTTCCATAAAAACATAAAATGTTACATGTTACATGATAAATGCACACATTTTTATTTTATTTTTTTAATTTTAAGCATTATTATTATTATTACTTACCGTCATCTGTCTAGAATACACCTGATTCTCTGCTCCTTGCAAAGACCAACATTGCTAATATTTTTACATAATGGACTTTCAAGTAATGATAATTGCAAACATAAAAGGATAACTTACAAGTAATGATCGTTTCTAGTTTGTGAAGACATTGCTTATAAGTAACAGTCAGGGATACAATGCAAAATCAGAACTTGCAAGTAACGCGGGAACGTTGCAAACATAAAACCGAGGTCAGTGAATTACCTGCAGGCATCCTCTTGGACGTACAGTTGCACTCTCACAGCGTAGCCAACCCTTAGTCCTGAAGGAACTTCTCTTTTGTGTGGCACATCCTGGCAACAAGGTAACTTTGTTATAAACAAGAATTTACTGCACAAACAGTATTAAATGCATACTCTCTTCTACACCGGAGTCGCCGTGGTCTCGCAGTTAGACGCTCGTCTGCGAATCGGAGGGTGGTGGATTTGGTTCCTGACAGCCTGAATTTTTTCAAAAATGAATTTGGCCCTCGGGTCGACCTAGCCTTGAGTGGGTACCGGGTAAAGTCCTGGGAAGTTAAGTTGACAGGCATGATGCTGCCTAAATCACCAACCAAGTGCCGTTTGTTCTATAAAATATAGGTCTAGCCCTATATACCCAATACGCCTGAAAGGCTTAGAAAGTGTCCTTTTCTTTACTATACTTACCCTTTTCTACACATTCATCCTTGAACAATGTTTTCTGTTTTTCCCCCCACAAACTATACGGACTCGTATGTATGTTTTAATAAGGCCTTCTCCAATGTATGTGACAAGGCGCTCTCCCAGTCTGCTGTACAACGTTAGAGAACAAAAAATGTGTACATTTTCGGAGTGAAATGAAGAGCAGACCTAAATCTTTATTTTTGCGTTTGTGAAATAAGCTGTTTTGATGTGTACGTGTTATTAACTATACCTTCATAGTGTTCAGTGCCCCGAACTATCGAATTGTGATACTTCCAGTGGATATGTGAATGTGTTTAAATTTTCTTCGGATGCTTAGAAGAAAAATATGGCTAAAATCAGTTCCACGGAAAAAATTGGACACTTGGGATTACCAATGAAAAGTCTGTGAACATTTTGATCACGTCTGATTTTGTATCTGATAAATACGTGTAAGACAAATTAATACTGGAGACGGTCATGGTTCAACGCATCATAAACTTCTTGACCAGTTTAAAATAAATGGAGTAGATCAAATAGACCAGTGTTTCTCAACTTTTATATACCCGCAGCCCATCAGAACTATGGAATTTTGTTTACACCTGATAGGTAATTATACACAGAAACAAAACCGATGCACACGATAACACACTGGCTTTGCAGAAATCGTACAGACCCTACAGGAGCTATTGTCCTTATTTCCAATTCAGACTGGACTGCAAGTGACTAACTGTCGGGTGCAGTTTCATTACTGTTTTATGCGGCTAGACGAGATTTCAAGGATTTGAACCTGTTTGATTCTCATTGAACAACCGACTGACCTGGTTCCTAGAGAAAAACGTCAAACTAATGGAGGAACAGGCAGGTTTTCGACGTTGTAGATCAACAGAAGACCAAATTACATTTATTGCTCTACACATTGAAGATGCTTTCCAGGAAAAAAAGCACACTATTGCAGTCTGGGTGGATATGGAAAAGGCCTTCGACAAAGTGTGGAAAAATGGGCTGAAACAAAAGCTACTTTAAAGTGGAATATCCCATCACATGCTTGGGTGGATCGTAAAATATCTTGAAAATCGATCTGCAAGAGTCAAGATACAGGGTTTAAGGAGCAGATCAGTCTCAATGAAACATGGAGTTCCACAAGGCGGAGTTCTGTCCCCAATTCTTTTCCTAGTTTACATTAACGACATAAAATCAACCCTCTGTAATGGAGTTGAAGCTGTTATGTATGCCGATAATCTGGCGCTACTGAGTTCAGAGGAGGACACTAAAAAAAAAAGCACAGACACGGCTTCAAGAATCTCTCGGAACTCTAGAGAGGTGGTCCAATAGTTGGTACATGCCTGTAAATGGGGCCAAAACCACACACATTATTTTCAGTCTCTCTACCAAACCTCAGAAAGTTTCACTTACATATGGCAGCCAGGCACTGAAACATGATGACTCACCGTCATATTTAGGAGTAACCTTTGACCCAAGACTCACATGGAGAAAACAGAAAAGACACAGAGCAAGGGACTCAAGAGAACACAACTGATGAGGAAGTTAGCTGGAACAGACTGGGGGGGCAAACCGCAATGTCCTTAAGAGGACCTATACAGGCTATGTGAGGCCAACACTAGAAAATGGAATAGCTGCTTGGGGCACAGCAGCTAAATCAAATTTTCAGAAAGTCTCATAGATCCAAAACCATGCTCTCTGTATTATCACAGGGGCAATGCGCTCCACGCCCATATTAGATATGGAAACAATTACTGGTCTCCATGATCTGGAAGATAGAAGAGACACAAAGCTAATCACCCAGCTCTCCAAATACCACCACTTTAAAGAACAACCCATGCACAGCCGACTGCAGAAACCCCAGAAGGTTAGACTAAAGAGAACCTGTTTTTTTAGGAACGCAAATGCCAAGCTCGCTGTATTTAAACTCCCTCCCATAATACCAAATGTTCCACTTAAACCTTACAACGACTGCCCCCCTTGGCTTAGGGATAGCCTACCAACAGTCAGAACCACTGTAACAGGGATCTCTTCCAAATCATCAGTGAGCAGCACAGATATGAAATCAACTACAGAAGGAAAGATCAATAGACTTTATCCACACCAGAGTTGGATTCGAGTGTATACAGATGGTTCAGCCAAGAGAGCAGTAAGAGACGGAGGAGGATGAATATACATAGAATGCCCAAATGGTTTAAAAATCAACCAGGCTGTACCAACAGGTTCATATTCCTTTAATTACAGAGCAGAGGCAGAAGCACATCTAGCGGCATGTTCTTTCCTGAATGGACAACAGCACAACAAATATAGCAGAGTGGTCTTTCTGACTGATGCTGTGTCAGTTCTACAAGCAATTGTTAACCCAAAGGACACTCAGTACGTAGACTTGACGCAACAGCTGATTTACTTAGGCTCTTCAGTAGAACAATCTGTACTGCAGTGGATTCCAGGTCACTGTGGCTTGGAAGGCAATGAAATAGCGGACAGATTGGCCAGAAGCGGCAGTGACATGGTACAACCAAATAGCGACTTAACCCACCAAGAGATGAAAACATTAATACAAGCTAGTATCCAAGAAAGGTGGCTGGATACCCACACCAGATTTTCTCCCCAAGACTCACTTCATCGCCTCTCTATAGAGGGACAGTGTATTATATTCAGACTAAGGACAGGGCACAACAGATTTCGTCAACATATGTTCACATTTTTCGGTGTAGGAAATACGGAGATGTGTCCCTGCAGCGTGGAACCCGAAAATGCTGAGCATTTGCTCCAACACTGTCAACTGTATGCTGACAACAGAGACGCAATCTGGCCTGTTCCAACCACAATGAAGACAAAACTGAATGGTACACGAGAGGATATGGATTGCACGATAGCTTTCATAAAGGCTACCGGCCTCCTGATATAAGTTTTCTGACAGAAGAATCGAAGAAGAAGAAAAAGAAGATTTTCATTCTTGAGGTGTTGAATCCTATAGACGGCAATCGTGGAAGAGCAAAATCACTGACCCTACCCTGATAATGATTAGGCAGACAGTCCGTCGCAGTCTGTCTAGACTATCCCGCGGTTAACCAGTGGGTCGCGGCCTACACGTTGAAGAACACTGAAATATACCGAGCCATGTCACAGTTTCCTAATCAAACATGATACCTATATGAGAGGCACATTTTGATTCTCGCTAGTGCTGCGGCGTAATTGCTCTTTGCATGCAGAGATCCTTCTCTTGTGATCTGTAAGTGATGACTGGGGCAATAATGGAGTCATGAATATTTTTTAATGAAGTGACTCGATGTTCTTATGGTCCATGCAGTGTGGCGGTATGAGGATCCACTTTGTCTTTTGTTCTAATGCTAGGTGTCAGATGTTTCACTTCTCTAAGGCTGTTTTGATGTCGTCGTTCCATGTTTGCGAGGTCTTGCTCATGTTCTGTGTTCATTATATTTCTCCACGGTGGTTCTCTGTGCTAGCTGCCATCAGGACATTCTCGTCTTACAGCCAGCCCCTTTCCCCTGTTTCTCTTTATGGCTTGGCTGACTTTTTAGCATAGACTAATATTTTTTTCGCGGTGATGGAATGATCATCGTTTTTACATCTAGAGAAATACCTTTGTATCCATTTTAGCACACGTGGGTCATAGATTTCAAACTCCACCGTCGGTGGATGGAGACAAGTGTTTAGCCACTTAGGACAACATAAGTGCAAATCATGTCACTTTCAAGGAGCGAAAATAGGATATCATGGCGATATACCCGACACGCCACAATAGGAGAGAGTCGGTAACCTGATGACATAAAAACAAGACTACACAATGACTTACAATAGACTTGTTTCCACAGGCCATGGCAGGTTTACTGTAAGCAAACAACAACGTAGACACGGGTGAAATCGTCAATAGTAGCAGATGAGAACAATGTCGCTTTCTGACGTGAAGTGATCATCCTCGTTGGTTTTATACACAGACTGACAAGTCCTTGATTATCGGCGTGGGCCAGTTAATTATCCGGTTGACTTTCTCCACAGGTGGATTAAAATCAGCAATAGGTGCAGTTTGCATTTTGTTTTCAATGACATCAAAGACAAAAAGACATGTATCCGTTTTATTTGTTCGTCAAGTCACTTTTATAGAACTGATAAATTCGTACCTGTCTCTCTTAGACAATGAAAAATACTCATAACAATGGAGATAAATGTTTTATTTTTTTCTTACATTCGAATTACAATCGCATATCTCTCTTACACACCCACACCCACACAATACACACGCGCACGTGCACACACACACACAAACCTACGCACACGTATACAGAGCGAGAGAGAGAAGCTGACGTATACACCTCACACAACGATAGTCAGAAGGGTAGAGAGTGGGTGGAGGGAGCGCTAGCAAGATACAGAGATGACAGAGACAGAAATAAAGAGAAAAGGAAAGAGGGAGAAAAGTATTAGATGAAAAACTGAAGCGTGCAGAAAACAAAGTTACCAGAGGAATTATTGTGTCTGATTCTCCGTTGGCATTGCGGAAGGTTCAGAATGGACTAATGTGGCATAAGTGGATACCATGCATCAGTACGCCAACATTGCAGGAAATCACATGGAAATACAGTCCGGGATATGCAGGAGTGCGAGGAATGAAAGAGCGGATTTTCTTGCCACAAAAGCTGAAGCTACGGAACACTCCTACTAGACAAGGGAGATATTCTAAAGACCATATATGAAAGTCTTTTGGCAGAAGACACGAGATTAGATGAAATAACATAGGCAAGAATGTATGAACAAATTATTAAGGTTAGAACCAGCAAGGAGGGACGATGAGAGGAAGAGATCGGCGTGTGTATAATCAGTGTGCTACGGGAACAGTTAGCATCTAAACGCTACGTCATGGGCTGCGGAAGACGGAGCATCTATGGGTATGCCTGGTGTGCTATGATGTCGATTCGTAAATCAATAATCAGTAATGAAGCGTGTAGAATAGAAACAATCATCATCACTGAAAAAATTCTTTCAGCTAACTATAGCCTTGATGATCACAAAATGCCCTCAGTATAATCGTTACCGTTAATCGCAGCAAGGCCAGTGGCTCGAAATCTGGCGAATGTCCCCGCTGTGGCTGAGCTTTTTCCCAAAATCTTTGCGTACGATATGTTACCGTCTGGCATCAACATGGTGATGTTCGATAGATGTCTGTCAGTGTCCCTCTGCAAATTGCCAAAGTCTAACATATTTCCGATGAACCAACCGTAAGCTTGTCACTTAGTCGTTAAGGTAGCCGGCTGGTCTAATTAGCTCCCGCAGTGACAGTATATTTATTGAACTTCGAATCTCATAGTACTGCATAGTCACCATTTCGTCTTGTCCCTGTCCGAGAGTCCGAATAAGTTCAGCAGCAGAAAGTCGAGGCCAGGCGTCATGACCCAGGTCGGCCCACCCACCGAAATTGTTTAGGAGGTAATGGACCGAAACAATTGTCGACGATAGATCTTCTACTGATGATCGGTGGACTCCTGCTGTACATGCTCCTTTGTGGAAATCTCATTATTAGCAACACAAATATGTGAGCAGCACTCCTCCTTTATGTGGTGGGTCAACATTCGTGGTACCCATTGTGGACACAACTTCATACATTGTAGTTTCTTGCTCCCAACTTTTTTAACTCCCCGACTGACACAACGAATTCTTTCGCTTGTTAACGTATGCTTCGACGACGGTTCACCGGTATAGTTGCATCAATTGTGCTATTGTTTTCTCTTGCAACAACATGCACTTGACCTGGCCGTGAGATCTGTCGTGAATTCACTTCCCTCCGTAATATTAGACGCAGTCTGTCACTACTGGCCTCTACAGACATTTGTTACAGTATGCTGCCTGCATTCTTCCATCAGTGTCCGCTGGTCGACATCCTTCAAATGAGAGAAATTAAATCACTGTTCTTTGAGCACCCTTGGGCTGACCCAGTCATTTTCACAATTGTCAGAAACAGAACCTAGGCATCGTGGGAGAATAAACATGTTCTCTTTTATTGACTGGTCAGTGAATTACCAAGAGGAAATCATATTCAACACAAGCAATTACGCCTGGTGCCACAGGAATGGTTTCAAAAAGACTCCTTAAGGAAGCAAAAGTTAGGAATCATAATCTTGCCACCCACCTGGATGTGGTGGAGGGAAAGGAACGGTGTGTTTTCAGTTTAGGATATTGTTGTCTTCTGTTTGCTATACGTTTTTCTTTTTTTAATTTGCGTCTCTCACTGGCAGGTTTACTACTCGTGAACACTTAACACCAGTCTAACAGTGTGTTAGTTTACTAATGGAAAATGGAGGTGCAAGTACATGAACAACTTAATTACATCTTAGAACAGTTAACGGGTCTGCCTAGGTTGTTAGCATGTACCTGGTGCGCGTGCATGTGTGTGTTTGTGTGTGCGTGTGAGGGAGGGAGAACTAGTGCTCATTATAGGAAAAATGAGACTGGGGAGGGGGAAGATGTAACAGTAACATTTAAAAATAACAAATTAAAAAATGAGTTTACTTAAAAGATGAGCGTCACTTAGTTGCTCGTATATGCACCAGCAGTTAGGTAAAATAATGATAGGCACTTTAGACAAGCTTTGTTGTAAGTGAATATTTTGAAACGAGCTGTCTGACTTAAAGCTTGGAACAGAATAATCTACATCGATCCGCAAAGAAATGACATTTATTTCAAGTTGCACACCAAATATGGCACTAATAAGTCATGACAGTGATACATCTGACGAGACGTCATTAAGAGGATTGAAAGTAAGTAAGAATACGAATTACAAGAAGATAAGAAAGATTTCAGGCGGTGTAGAGAAACCGACAACAACATGGTCAGTATTCAAGCCATCTTTGAGAAGTGCAGAAAGCAGAAAGTGCAATGTAAATCCTAATATTTGCCCCCATATTAAGGCATTTAACTGCGATTTTCTTCTTCTTCCTTTCCTCCTCCTCCTTCCTCTTCTTCTTCTTCTTCTTCTTCTTCTTCTTCTTCTTCTTCTTCTTCTTCTTCTTCTTCTTCTTCTTCTTCTTCTTCTTCTTCTTCTTCTTTTTCTTCTTCTGTCGTCTCACTGATACCAGGTTGTAGCCCAGTGTCGTGGTTTTCTGTACGTGTCGTGCGCTTCTTGGATGGCTTGGGTGATAGTGTATTCATGTTTTTGCAAGTTTCTGCTACACCATTTATCCATATCTTTCTTGGTCTTCCTCTCACCTTCCTCTCAGATGTTCTACTGTAAAAGGTCGCATATGCTGCTCTGTATTCAACATGTCTTGTGAAGTAACAACGAGTTACACCTCTGCCGGTTTGCTGGGCCCGTCGCGTGGCGGGGCAAGAGAAAATTTGACTTTGTAGACTGTGATCAGTATCACAAAATGTGAAACATCATAAGAGATACTAACCTGCGAGCTCTCTTATTCTTCATCTTCTTAACGTTCACCGTCTGCAGACTCCGGTTGAAAGTTCTAGTTGTTCGTCCACTTATGAACTCTGACACTTATGGACTCTGACACTTGTGAACTCTGACACTTATGGACTCTGACACTTATGGACTCTGACACTTGTGAACTCTGACACTTATGGACTCTGACACTTGTGAAATCTGACACTTATGGACTCTGACACTTGTGAACTCTGACACTTATGGACTCTGACACTTGTGAAATCTGACACTTATTAACTCTGACACTTATGAACTCTGACACTTATGGACTCTGACACTTATGGACTCTGACACTTATGGACTCTGACACTTATGGACTCTGACACTTATGGACTCTCACACTTATGGACTCTCACACTTATGGACTCTGACACTTATGAACTCTGACACTTATGGACTCTGACACTTATGGACTCTGACACTTGTGAACTCTGACACTTAAGGACTCTGACACTTGTGAAATCTGACACTTATGGACTCTGACACTTATGGACTCTGACACTTGTGAACTCTGACACTTATGGACTCTGACACTTATGGACTCTGACACTTATGAACTCTGACACTTATTAACTCTGACACTTATGGACTCTGACACTTATGGACTCTGACACTTATGGACTCTGACACTTATGGAAAATTGTCTTGAGTTTGAATCCGTTCCATTGCGGATTTCTTTGAAGGGACCTTGACCTCCTGCCTGGTCGACTCAACCCAAAATGGGTAACAACACACGTGTTGTGAAATGTGAAATAGCCAGCCTAGCATGGACCAGATTTTATCTTGTGACAATTTGTCTCTCAAAATATGGGTCTGTAAGGTGTGGTCAGTCGGCTCTGTGGCTAAGTCGATGCGAACGCTTCGTAATGCCGGGATGCCGGGTTCGATCCCAGCTGCGGGCCACGCGCCTTGCGTTGGTTTCGACAGTGGTATCAAGAAAGCCGACCGTCCAGCAGCAATGGCAAACTACTGGACGTAAATTTGCCTAGAGAAACCACACAACAGCCAGGGACTGTTTAGGTTGGTTCTGCAAAGTCCTGTAAAGGATACGCAACTAAAAAAAAAAAAAGAAAAAGAAGGTGTGGTCACGCCTGGCACTGCAGACAGCAGTCTCGGGGCAGCTAGCTCTCCTAGGAGGGTGACCAGTGAACATTAGTAGCCTGCTGCTGTCCCCCACCTCCTCGTGGTGCAGACTGGAAACTGTATTCGTTCGGACACAGGCTAAATGTTAAATGGCCACCTGGAGAGAAGTGGGCCCCGCCAGGGTTAAAATACTGCCCGAGACGCACCACGCTGTTGACAAATAGATCGGATACAACACCGACTCGGTCGTCACCCGGGCCTACTACTGTATGCATTAAAATATTTATTGGAGGAGGGCAGGGAAAGAG